TCGTGGCTTATTCCCGGGCACGTCTTTGGATAACTCTTGGAACTGCTCATTAACTTCCCCAAACCGTTCTGCAGCCTTTGACACTTATCCCATGATTTACTTCAATCGCTCTTAAATCGTGTCTCCTTTAAGTTCTTCATTCTGAGAGGTTGCGAAGTGTGTTCGTGTATGTCCGGATTCTTGGGATTTCGAGTAACCAACGAAAAATATACTACTCGAGTGTTTCCTGATTTTTCTTGTACTTTGAGAGGTTGCGAGGCTGTGAGCCTTTCTCTTGAGCAGCGTCCTTCCTAGTTCAATAATTTCGAGAGTTTCTCGAAAAGTGTCTTCGTGTCCTTCCTGGTACAATGATTTCGAGAGTTTCACGAAAAGTGTCTTCGTGTCCTTCCTCAGAAACTTCTTTGCCATTTTCCGATCACCTAGGATTTAAAGCACCTCTGTATTTCGAGTGCCTCCGAATTCATTTTCCGGTACCAACAAATGCCCCCCTGGAAAACATTTGTTTCGAAGTAACTGAGAAAGAATGTTTTTCAACGCCTCAACTCTCTTTCTCTGATAAGACCCTAGAGCGTTGTACTCTTCGCGAGAATTAAATGCCCCTGACATCTTTTAATTCTGAATTTTTCCTTTTCGTACCTGCTGCTCCATTTTCTCGGGATGTTATCGAAATTCGTTAATCAACTTCTCCTGAACGTCCTGAGGTATGTTTTGTTGACTTTCGATTTTCCTTGAGCCTTCTTAACTCTATAATTTTTCATAATTTCAGACACCTCGAAAGCCTTAGCTGCTGATCTGTCAAACACAACGCTACATCTCGGATAAAGCATAACTTCCCGATCATCATCTTTCTTCCTCGAAAGGAAATCGCGCAAACTGTCCCTCTCTTTCGGTAAAATATCGAATATTCTATCGGCTTTTGTTATATCGAAACTATATTTTCTATTCGATCCGACCTCTATATTATTTTCCCTAGATTTTAATAATTGGCATTGATAGGTTGGCCCAGTTTGCAATTCGGCTAAGTTCACTTTACAGTCCTACTCTGCCTTTTTTTCTGGGTTGATTCCTACTCTGTAAGATCCTTAAAACTGCTAAGTTAGTATAATTCTGGGTGTTGGTTCAATAACATCAAGGCATTTTCTTAGTTCTCACCAGACATGTCATTAATGAGAAGAGAAAAAAAAAAGGGCTTATGACCTAAAACCAAGGAAATTGGAAGAAACATCATTAATGAACATTTCTTGAGTGTATGTGGTTGCTGAAAGACCTTTCATGGCTTTAAGATCAAGTTTTTTCATTTATTCATCATTTTTCCTGTACTTTACATGTCTATGTATAACTAAGTTCACCCTTATTGAGATTTGATGTAACCATACATATTTTCATGTTCATATTCTAAGTTATTAATCCTAGTTATTATTCAATATTGTTGTCCTCTTTTTTTTTTTCTTAATGCTTATTATGTTTGATCTCTCTTAATTTGATTTTGTGGGTTTAAAGTAATTGAAAAATGTTTGTAAACCTTTAAATTGAACTAGAGCAATATATTAATGGTGTTTACCTCAAGGAATGAAGTAAATTAGATTGATTCATAAACTTTTGTTCATAAAGCTAGGTTCTTGGTTAAGTTATGCAAGGAATTGATAACTCAATCAATAAGTTTAGACTCTAACTTGTATGAAATCAAGGCTTTAATATATTTGTGAGTTGAATAATAATTTATGAACTCATAATTGGATTAAAGTTTATTTGTGAGCATGAAAATATGGTTTGGGGAAGTTAAACCCCAAAATATTTCATTCTTGTGTCAAAATTAGTTTTTACATTCCAAATGTTCGTAAAAATACAAAAAATATTTCTTATCACATTTATTTTTGTTTAAGCACTTTAATTATTTTCACAATCAATCAATATTTTCATTCTCGATAGTTTGGTTTAGTATAATTTGTGTGCTAGACCATTAGCAAACAATATTTATATACTCATCACAGGGCCGTATCTAGGAATTTTGGGGCCTTAGGCAAAAATTAAGATAGGAGTTTGTATTAATATATTCTAATAATTTTTATGTTTTTTTTTTTTTTTGCTTTTTGAGGTGTAAAATTATTTATTAAAGTTTTATAATCAAGTAATTCTAGCATCTCACTCTCAATAGATAATATAGCTAACATATTCAATCTATCTTGTAACATAGTTGATCTTAAATATGATTTAATCAATTTTAATTTTGAAAAACTTTTTTCAGCAGTCGTAATAGTTACAAGTAATGTGAATAATATTCTATAAACAATGTATGTTTCTGGAAAAGAACATGATCTTTTTATATAGTTCAATATTTTTAATGGTGTGTTAATTTCATTTGTTAGAATTTCTTTCAATAACTTTAATTCTAAAAATAAATCAAGACCATCAATATCAGAATGGTACTTTAAACTCAAAATCTATTCAAGATTGATACGATATTTTTTCAATTCATTTTCCCCTAAACTTTTAAATTTATTTGAATCAAATAAAAAACCAAACATGTTTTCATATTCTAAAAATTGTTCAAATCAACTCTCAATAGAATAAATTGATTGATATAATATATACAAAAAATAATAATGCGAAAAGAATCTTCAGCAGAATGAGTTATTTTATCACTATCAATGTCATCAAAATGTTTTTTCCTATGAATCTTACATTTTTTTATTGAACTTAGGCTCTATATCCATTTCAATAGTCATTTCTTTGGTGGATTCCAATACAGATGCAAAACCATTTTTCCTATAATTTTTTAATTAATTTTTCAATTCTTCTCTTTTTCTCAACTTTTCAAAACCAGATACATACTTTCTATTTGACATATTTTACTGATAAGCTAAAATAAAAATAACAAGAAAAATAATTTTTAAAATTAAAAGAAGATAACAATGAAAAAATAATACCAGGAAAGTGAAAAATTATATCTATGAATGAAAATTTCTTTAAGTTATGGTTATGCACTATCGCAGCTATGAGTATCCAAAACCGAAACCGTAGTGACAATCACTTTGTGTGCACCTACAATGATAAACAATAAAAAAATGTTTATCATTGTGTGTACTAAATTATTTTTTCTTATGCATTAATAATTAATTTACAATGTTTTAGAAGGGTTTGATCTGGACTTTTCAAAGACACGCGAAAAATCATGGAAAGAAGAAATATTGTCACAGTGACAAACTTCAATTTCAATAAATAAAAATATGTGGTATTGATCCCCAGGATAACCCATGACAAATTCACAATGCAATATCATGCAAGAAGTGCACTACAATGGTGTATTTCGAGTGCCTCCGAATTCATTTTCCGGTACTAACAGTCTCCAATTTGAATCTAAGACATGCATCAGCATTGGGGAGAGTTTTGTTGCTTATAGTTGATCTCGAACAAGATTACCTCCAATAGAAATTAAAAAAAAGAAAAGAACTCAACTTGATATAGGTGGAGTGTGTTAAGTAGAGGAGGAGGTATATGAATATGGTATTCTCAGTGGAGGAAGAGAGGCTCTATTTTGTGGAATCAAGGTGGCGTATTCACACCTCACACAGTGTGCTACATTCTTATGAGAGTTCTAGATTCGCATAGGAATTAAATTATAATGTAACATTAGGTGCATGACACTTCAGTGTGCATATCATATCCCTTTTACTAGAACGATCGATGTAGTAAAATTAGGATCTGCATATGATAAAATAAAGACGTGTCTTTTGCAGGCTAAAGTTATTAGGTTGCTGAACTGATCAATGAATATGTATGGTGAATGACGTTGTAAAAAAGGAAATACTGTGAAGGAGATATAGTTGTATATTGTGAACAATTGTTCGTGTTTCTTTGGCTAGTATCGAAAATGTTAAAATTAAATAACGAAAGCAAAAGAAGGATAAAAAACGACACGGATTAACATGGAATTGGACAAAGAATCAAAGATGCAGAAATGGTTGCTTTTACACAATCACAGCTCAAAAGTTCCCCTTTATTTTATTCTCCGACACTTTAATAAACTTTTTATTTATTTGTTTATTTATAACAGAGGGATGTAACATTTAAAAAACTATCAAAATCCTAATTTCACATTCTCTTTAATATTTTAAGTTTTAAAAAAAGACTTCAAAATTATAAATGGGATCATCTCTAAAGTAAATAAGAATATATTTTATTATCAAATTTTACTAGATAAAATAAAGGATTATATATTCTTATTTATTCACTTTGGAGATAATCAGAATATAAACATGCAAAGTAATAAAATAAATCAAATTATAGTATAATGATAAAAATTATACACAAAATAATATGCATGTGAATAAGTGAATGTACAACGCACTTTAACATTTTTAATAGATTTACACACTTTTATTTTATCTATGCTAACAATTCTATATAAATATAACTATTCTTTCTATGTCAAATATTATTTTGATCATGTCACCTTTCTTATTAGATACATAAGATAATGCAATGGAGAAAGAACTATAGAAGATGCATAGTGAGGTTCCATTATTTGATAATAAGTAGAATAATAAAAATACTAGCTTTTTTAAAAGAAAACTCTTTTTATGTTTTGGTCAATTATAAATTTGATGTCCACTTGCCAAAAATAAATACGTGGATCACGTGGCTACGATTGGTCCTGTTTCACTCCACGAGAAGGATTATTACTTGTAATCTAAAGTTCAGTGTTCCCATTACTAATGCAATGCACTTGCAAGTGGACAATATCATATTGTCAAACATATTCCTCGAACTGCCAACATCACTAATCCAATATAGAAGGAATAAATAGAGATCAATGTGTATGCTCATATTATAGTTATGCTTACAAACTTAATTTCAACCAAAAGTGCATATATGCTACATGAGAGGTATAGATTAATTTGGATGTTTTTATGTAAGAGGTACTTGAGTATATGATCGTTCATAATGATTTTATCCTAAAAAAATATTAAAAGAAGAGATTTTCACTTTCAAATTTTCCAATTTAGATTTTCTTCGTTTTTATTCATACCGAAACATATATAAAAAAATATATAAAAAAAAAATGAAACCTATCCTTCTGTTACATTTTCCTTTCTTGTGTACTTTTGGTTTTGGGAAGAAAGTAGTGTGGAACATGACTTGTAAAATTAACTATAACGAAGAGTATTTGTATGGTCTTTATTTAAGGTTCAAGATTGTAGTGCCCGTTGGCTATATTCTTGATGAACTCAAATCTGGGACCCTTTTCACCGAACTTGGTGTTGCCATAAAGCTCCAAATAGTCTCCATAACGATAATTACTAGGATACAAGAGTTTGGAAGCTGGAGAAATAATGGCTTCACCAACGGGATTATAGAAGCTAGCTATAGAGAGTCTGCTTCCATTTTTATCAGGCATGACCCTATGAACAACACTTTTGTACAAGCCATTGCTCAACACTTCCACTTGGTCTCCTGTGTTGACAAAAATGGCATTGTTCTTTGAGGGAGGGATCTCCACCCACTTGCCATCTTTGAAGAATTCTAGGCCAGGCACTTGGTCATCTTGGAGCAATAGGATGATGCCACCTGCATCTGTGTGCTCCCTAAGTCCTCTAATAAGCTCAGGGTGTGGACATTGAGGGTACTTTGCCACTTTTGTTCCCATGCCAGGTCCATTTCTTCCAGAAAATGCTTCCTTCATGTAGTTTTTCTCCAAACCAAGATTTTCACTCATAAGTTCAGATAACTTCTCTGCCACCTTAATGAGTTGCTCAATATACTCATCCATTGTTTGGCTGCATTTACATATACAATTGGTATCAGATTATGTGCATGTGCATGTGCATGAGAATCTCAAGACTAAATGTGTGGTTGGATGAGTGTTGTCAAAATTGATTTTAAAGTGATATGATTTATGTTCGGATGTTTTTATTAAAAAAAAGTTAAAAGTAAAATTTAGTACGAAACTTTTGATCCAAAGCAAAAGTTACCTAAAGTTGTTTCATTTCAGGGTCAATTTTGGACCGAGAATCAACTAAACATGTGAAAATTTATCTAAAATCATAGTAACTGATAATTGAACGTGATTATGGAGAATCCAATTCGAACTAAACATGCATTGTTTGTGTGTGTTTGAGAGAGAGATAAATCTAGTGTTATTCTTTAGAAACCAAACAAGTTGAGTTGACTAACCAAAGCTCCTCAGAGAGGTTAGGGATTTTCCTAATGTTGGAAGTGGGACGGTGCCAAATGAAGAAGGCACTTTCCCAATCTATATCAGATGTGTTCTGTTTTTTCTCCAACCTCTTTGCTATCTCAGATTGGTAGAAACTTTCCTTCAGGTTCTCCTCGTAGTGAATATTAATTAGCTTCTTCACCTTTTCCATCAGGTTCTCGTCAATTTCATGGTTCTCAATCTGCACATGCAATGTGTTAAACCAAAATGCCAACTAACAATTGATGAAAAGGAGAAAAGAGAAACGTGATGGAAGTGACACACATATAATTCATTAATTCTCTTTACCAGAAAGAAACCCCATTTCTGACAAGCTTCATGCAAAAGAGCCATGGTTTCACCCCTTTTGTCTCCATTGAGAGTGCTGAAATCTATCACAGGTATAGTCATCTTTGTGCTATTGTTTGTTTGCTGAAGATACATTGCTTGAAGGGGTATATATAGGGATTCAAAAGATTTAAAAACTGCTTTAACACTCAAACTACAAGAGGGTGATTACTAATTAGATAGTTTCTAAGTCTAAATTAAGGAAGACTTAAAAACGATTGGACATTTTCTAAGTCCAAGCTCATTTCGCTATTATATCATGTGACCGTGTACATTTTTTTATTATTTCATTTAGAAGGGAAATCAGATTTTCCCTTGTAAACCAAGTATTTTTGCATTTTTGCTTGTTGCTTATTTCACCTCTACCACATTTGGACTAGTCCAATTTAGGTCCACGTTACTGTAGTACAGAAAAAATATTTTCAATTTCACGTGGCTTTATTTTCAATTGAACGAAAAGCCACTGTGGGTCGGAGACTTGTTGATGCAGTAAATGATATTATGATTCAAAACCAGGGGCAGTGGCATAGAAAGGGTTGCATTCGAGCAAAATGCAGAAAGAGAATAGTGGAGTTAATCAACCAGTGGGCGGCTTTGGCTGGATGCTGTTGTGAGTCTTGTGACATGATGAATAATCAATACTTATAAGCTTTATTTTACTTTTATTGACCAATTTTGGTCAACATAACTGTAACTAGATATGACATATTAGTTGTTGGATCAATCATTAGTTTATACCAATCGCACATGGTATGTGAAAGTATTGCATGCAATATCAATATATTATTTTTAAACTGTCCAATTTCGTGTCTTAATCATGATGAGATTATTTTTTACTACAACGGATATATGTTTATCAAGAGGAGAGTCATAATATTTACATTTTCACATGGTTATTTTATATATAATTCTATAATGATGAAATATTATTCATTTTGAGTCTAAATTTTTGTAATTTTGCTTTTAGTTATCATTTTAAAAAAATTTCAATCATTAAAGTATGTGTATGTTTTATAAATTATATATTTTTTCTCTTATTTTATCGATGTAAAATCTTATTTATATCTCAATATGTCAAGTCGACACTATTTATAACCCCAACCAAACACTATTGACTCTACCAGAGGGATCAAACACAATACCAAGAATAATTTAAGTACATATCTAATTATTAATAGTTCAACAACAAATTCTTATATCACACAGCCTAGATAAGATGCCCATTTTTAAAATGAAAATGAAATCATTGTGTCATGGATCGAGCTTAAGCCAATCCATACGATGGTCATACTAGCCTAGATGATGAGAAAGTTCAATAACACAAGTGTTAACTTCAGTTAATATTGTGAGTAGAAAAATTAACTTCCACTCCTTATATGATCATAAGGAGTAAAATTAGTTTTTACACTACAACAACATAATGACATATAATTTTCTACAAAATGTCTTGATATTGTAGACAAGGAAGCCGATCTAACTACATTTATATATACTAATGACAAGGTAACATGTACATATTTAATATGTCTTGTCATTCTAGTGGGATTATACTTAAGTATTAGAATTTGTTTTAAGTTACCTTATTTTTCTCCTTTTCATATTGTCTCAATTTTATCAAAATCTTAGTTAAGTTAATTTCGGACTTTCTAACATATCAAGACTAAATATATTTGAAATTTCATATTAGACGTATCAATAATTCACTTTAAATAAGTCAACAATTTCTTTTAGATATGTCAACAATTCATTTTGGTTCAAATCTACCTTAGACACATAGAAGTTAAACCTAAACTTTCTAGCATATGTTGAGTGTCTTTTATGCATGAATTGCACTCAACTTTTGGTTCTCTTTTTGGTAATTGTAAATATTTATATGTTATTTTACCCCCTAAATTGGAAGAATCAAAGTATACTAAAAGGGTAGAAGAGTAGTAGCAAAATCTTAATGTTTTCCCTCCATTTTTGTAGAAAAATTGAGAAGACAGAGTTCCACAGTCATAACTATGGTTCTGGAGCTATGGCTGTGGAAATCTGGGGAGAAATTTTGAAGGCCAGAAACTTGCAGCTATAGCTGTGGTTCTACAGCTATAGCTGTGAAAATATGGAATGCTCATTTTTTATTCCAGAGACTTGAAGCTAAAGCTATAGGTCTAAAGCTTGAGCGTTGAGGCTTGGGAGATTAAGGAAAGTCACAGAGACTCACAGCCATAGCTGTGGTTTCATAGCTACAACTTAGGGAGTTGCTTAATCATGAAGGAGTTTCTACAGCCATGGCTGTGGAGCTACAGTTGCAGCGCCAGGAGTTGCTTCATCTTGAAGGACTCTCCACAGCCATAACTGTGGTTCTACAGCCACAGCGGTGGAGTTAAAAAAGTGCAAATCTCCCTTGTTTGAAGTTGATATAAAAGGGGAACAACGAGGGAAACAGGGCATCACGAAACACAAAGAGAAACAGGATTGAGACCTCAGAGAAGAGAGAAATAGAGGAAGAACGAAGACTTGGGCAGCTGGGTCATTTGGGAACGAAGCCCAACCCTTTATTTTCACCTCCCACTTTGTAATCTCTTCTTTTACTTCTTATATCTTGTAATGGCCATGTGTGGCTAAACTCATTAAGGATTGGTTAGATGTAACTGATAACTCTTCTTCTTCTTAAATATATGCATTTTGATCTTATTATTTGTGTTTGTTTCTTTACTTAATGCTTCTATCGGTTTGATCACCCGTGGTATGATTTTGGTTTTTGAATCCAGTTGGAAAACGTTTTTGAAAACCCGAACTGAATCTTACACCTAATCATTTCTCGTTCTAGGAATAGACTTGATTTGGTTAGTCACATTGTTCAAGTCACTGTTCTTAATGCGAAGTGTTAAACTCAAAACATAGAGGAATCATGTTTTGAGATTAATGACTTTAGGATTCAACCTTGAGGAATCTTGTTGGATTACTAAATGAAGGTGGAAATAATGAAATTAGAATCGCATTTATTTTAAGAAGATCTACGAGTTAACAAGTACTTCTGAACCAATCCTTGTTTCTTAACCTTTTTTTTACTACTTTCATTTTAGGCTAAAAATCTATTTTAGTCCCTTATAATAATTGTTTGTTTCAATTTAGTCCCACTTTTATTTTTGGTCTCAATTTGATCCCTAATAAATTAATTGGTTGCAATGTAGGACTTCCGTCTAAATTATTTAAACGGAGTTAACTGTTGGCCACGTGGCATGCACGTGAATGCCACGTAGATGCAGAGGTGGATGCCAATTTTTTTTAAAACACATGGAACCAGAACGGCCCGTTCTGACGGCCCGTTCTGACGGCCCGTTCTGAAACTAGAATGAGCCGTTCTGAGTGCACTCTTCGTTAAACACAAACTGTCGATGATTATAGTTCACGGTTGTGAATCGTGGAAGGGAAAAGACCCAAGGTAAAAAACATTTCAAAAACTGGATTTGGTAATATTGTCAATGGAAATTGATAACTTCAATTGCTAAACAGTTGGGCTATACAGTGTATCATTAAGGACAATGCAGTGTATTACTAATGACAATGGGAACAGATTTTATTTCATTGTTAATCAAACTGGAGTGAACCACTTACTACCAAATTGACACTATAAAGTAAAGGATGAAATGACATGATATTTTTTCTTGAAGTCATTAACGATGTACCCCAACAATAACAACCCGTTCTTGAAGAGGTAGAACCTGAAGTAAAGGAAGAGGATACACAAGACTAACATTTCATCACACAACCACATGCAATGTCGGATCTAAGTTAATCATAGTGAGGGCACTTCCCCCCACTAAAATTTTTTTCATTTTTTTATATATATATATAAAATAATAATTTTATAAAATATATATTATTAATTATATTTTAATTATCTTGTTATATCTAATATAATAAATACATTAATAAATTTTTTATATTTTATTTTATTGTTTAATTGTTTTTTATTTTGTGGTAAAATTATCTTCATTGTTAATGAAGAAAAAATTTACTTACTTCAAGAGTAAGTCTTGATAGATTTATTCTACTTAATAATTAATGTTCTATATCAAATTTTTAAAAATTTAATTGTTAAATTAAAAAGCTTTTCATGTATAGATCAAATTTATAAAATTTTTTAAAAAATTAAAAATCATATGATACTTCGTTAAATTAATTCAAAATAACATATAAAATATTTTTGTTTTAAATGAGTGTAAAAATTTAGAGGACACTAAAAGAAAATAAATTAATAATTTTATTATGTTTATCCTATTAATGTTTATCATTTTATTCCTCTAATTTTAAATAAGTTGCAAAAAATTATTAAGTGATACTTAAATATTTTTTCAGACAGAAAGAGAAAAAGGAAAAGTTATCACTCTATTTATAAGACAATTGTATTTTATAAAAATAAGTAATTTTAAAATTTTTATCATAAAAAAATATTTTTCAAAATTATTATAGTTCTGGAACGGGCTGTTCTGCATCCAGAACGGGCCGTTCTTTTGTACTCGTGGTGTGTTAATTTTGTATTTGGAACGGCTCGTTCTGGTCTCAGAACGAGCCGTTCTGGTTCCAGGTGTTTTCAAGAAATTTGGCATCCGCGTGACATCCACTTGTGCATCTACGTGGCATCCACGTGGCCAACAGTTAACTATGTTTACATAATTTATACGGAAGTCCCACATTGCAACCAATTAATTTATTAGGGACCAAATTGAGACCAAAAATAAAAGTGGGATTAAATTCAAACAAACAATTATTATAAGGGACTAAAATAGGCTTTTAGCCTTCATTTTATTGTGTTGCCTTACATCATCTTAACTCAAATGCAATTCCATCAACATTCTCTTTTAAATCATTAGAGCAAGAATTACTAAACTCTCAAATCCCTGAGAACGATACTTAATTACTACATCGAAACTTGGTCCACTTGCCAAGTGAAGAGATTGCGAAAATCCTTATCAGTATACTAAGACTAACTTTATTTGAGATTTTATCTCAAACAATCAACAATCAACTTTAGACAAATCAATAATACATCATCTCAGATATGTCAACAAATCAACTTAATTTTAGTTCAAATCTACCTTAGACGTGTCAAATAACAAATTTATTTCATTTGAGAAAATCATTTTTTATAAGATTTCTTATATCTCTTCCCACATAACATGTTTTCACAATTAAATCAATAATTGGCATTTTAGATACTTACAAATAAATGGATAATCACAATTTTT